GGGGGGGGGGGGTGGGGGTTGAGGAATTTGTAAAAAAAAAGAAAATCCGGCACGGCAAAAACTGTCCAGAGAATCGTGAAAGGGAAGCCATGGGTAAAACACCAAGCTAGTGCTTAATACTAAAAAACAGTCTTGCACAAGCTATTGCCTACCGAAAAAAACTAGTGCACAACCTAAAGATGAGGAAAAATTTCAGGCCCCAGCAAAATACCCAAGGCTCCCCTTCAAAAAAAATATTGGTCCGTTCCTAACCTAGTTTGCCTACCCAGGGCTGCTTGGCTTGAGATTCTTGTTGTCAATTGTCTGATAAATGAATAATTGTGCAGACACTAGGTACACGAACGTGGTCTTTATATTATGAGGTGAAAAGTGCTTGCACTTGTTAATTACTGCTTGTTTGCACTGAGCAGCTTTTACTTTTCATACAATAAAAAAGCGTAAAGTTCTGGATTAAAAACACGTTGTTTTGCTTAGCAAGACTTGGCTGAAGCTGTTTTCTTCGATATACACGAGATAGTGTAGGTGGTCATTTTGGGCTACTTATTAACTGCGCATGTCATGATGTCCGATCACCACTGACACAAAACGCAAGGGGACGTTGGGGACCCAAAACGTTGTGGGGACGAGATTATTTTCCTCAATAAGACTGTGCAATTATTTCACTTTTCGCTGATGAGCGGGCGGTTAGAAGTAAGTAAATTGGCTAAAATCATCAAAATAATAAACCAAAAATTGTTTCGCCTTAACAGCAGTCATGATACCTACCTGTAGCGTGCGCACGACGGGCAAATCTAACTTTGATGGCAATACAGCGTTGGTGAAGCGCCATGAAGTGTCCTCCCAAAACTGTCTTAACATAACCATCGCTGGCAGCGTATTTCAGGGCATGTATAAACTGCAGTGAATATTCTAAAAATAACAACAAGAACAAGTTAAATATCATCTCTCATTTTCTTTCATATATGTCACTATTCACAAACTGTCACATCATAGGTTTTATAATCAATGCATGGGGTTTTAGAAATGTACACTCTTTCCTTTTTTAAAGAAAATGTTTTATAAGAATATCGAGGCTGAAATTTGCGAAATTTTAAGAATGTTTTAAGAATAAACCCGAGGTTGAGATTTGGGAAAGAATATAATTGGTGTTGAAAATCTGTAAATACAATACAATTATGGTTTCAACTAAGCCGTGTAAAATTCTTTTCTTTTTTTTATAAGCAGCAAAACTAGCCAAAAAGCGACAAAAACAGCGCTGGCCGTGTGTTCGGTTGATGCTTATAACATTTCTGCAAGAAGTTATGTACGTCATATCAGGTTTTGACGCCTGCAGGCTGGCTCCAAAATTACTTTAATACCATCCAGACACCAAATACATTCGAAAACTGAAATGTTATACGCTACAATCTAAGAATATTCACAAGAATATTTTCAGCTTATAATGGGCAGAAAAATAAGGATATTTTCCTTGGTCGGAGAAACAATATTCTTGTAAAAAAAGGGAGCGTATTCAAATTATAGCTTTTCTCTTTTTATTTATTTCGTTTGTGTGGGGTTGCATTATAATATTAATGGGAAATCACTGCTGGTAATAAAAAACACATATGTAAATGGTTCTTATTTACCTTCATTCTGTTTGTCCCTGGACTTTTTCAGTACTTTTATCGCCGGTAGAATGGCGCGTGACTGCAATAAAATAAATTTCGGTTATTAAGGTCAGTATTCTAGATGATTTTACCTGAAACGGGACGAGCGCGGTTGGAGCCCAAATAAAATTGAGAAGAGGTTGACACCCATACTACAACACCTCCACGATTGAAAACTGTACATTTAAGGTCCGGTAATACGGGCAGCATTTTTCTCCAACTCGTCTCGCAACGTTGTTGCATTGCAAGTTGAAACCCTCTGTTGCGCGTATTACCACATTTGTGAGCAACTTGTCCCGCAGCAAAATACAGTGTTGCGAGTTGAGGCAACATGTTAAGCAAAGTAGACTCGAGTTCTACTTTCTGCAACAAATTTTTGTTTTGCTTCTCGTATTACCACTGAAGCTACAACTTGTCTCGCAACAAATTTGAATTCAACGCTTCTAATTGGCTGTCACGAGGCGCGGAAGTAAGAAAAAAAAACATGACGGACGGTGAAGACGAGCCTGAATTCGAAGTAGACCAGTAACTCTCGGAAAGTCATAAATTTGCCCTGTACAAAGACCTGGAGGGCTATCATGTCTTTGGGACACCTCGTTTGTCCCTTCCAAACAAGCAGCAAAAAAGACAGAAGGCTTGGAAGAACTGTCGCAAAAATACAACTTTTCGCCTAGCTTCATACTGAGAGAACTTCGCTGGCATTGAAAATTAAGAATAAAATGACGGCCANAAGGCTTGGAAGAACTGTCGCAAAAATACAACTTTTCGCCTAGCTTCATACTGAGAGAACTTCGCTGGCATTGAAAATTAAGAATAAAATGACGGCCAGAAGTCGAATTGGAAGTTCGTCGAAACGCTAAATTATATGAAAGAAGGAGCCATCTATATTTACACACGATTGACCAATTATGCGTGTAGAATTCTGCAGACTTGCAACACTGTACTTTGCTGCGAGACAAGTTGGTCACAAACGTGATAATACGTGCAACAGAGGGTTTCAACTTGCAATGCAACAATGTTGCGAGACAAGTTGAAAAAAAATGCCCGTATTACCAGACCTGTAAAAGATGCTCTACTTAGTTTTTCTAATTTCGGCAGTGGATTCTCTCATCGTGATCACAGTCTTGTAATATTGCAAGATTATTCTGTATAATTAACGGACAACACAGAAAGTAGCGAGAGTTTGACAGCAGCTATTGGAATTGTAAGTAAATTGTCAATAAGAAATGAAACAAGTATCTCTGTGCCTTACCGCATTAACCATCTCCTCAGCAGCCCCTTTGTCGGGTTCGGGTCCAGGGTTAATACCTGATCCTACGAACTCCTCTTCATCGTGATCATTTAAATTGGCGCTAGCAAGGTCGTCAGCTTTGAATAAGCTGCCAAATCTCCTGACAGGGAGCGGCTCATCTGCGAAAAAACAGGTAATATTTGTTAGGCTTTGAGACAAACAGTTAAAAGAGCTGCTACGTGGAAATGCCTACTCCGCACGCTCGCGACAGGGACCTGCAAGCCTCGCGAGGGAGCTCTATTGTTTCTCAGGAAAATATTCCACGCCTCGCGAGGGAAGTGTTTTTCTTTCAAAGGAAAGAAAACTGGAGGCATTTCGCGTAGAAAATAGAGGAAACCACTTAAAAATAACTTCTGCAACGCTGCTCTTCCGCTGTTTACGATGAAAACCTTTCTCAAAATGTTTCTTGCCCATTTCGGACTTCCAAGTTGAAAAAATAAATTCACGAAATTGTTTGTGCATAACTGAAAACGCCAAGATTACTGATGAATTAATTTTACTAGCGTATAATATGAAATCTGGCACTTCTGAAGTATATTCCTTCAAGTTTTTCAACGTGACAAAGCGTAATGAGCGTAGAAGACGCGATTTCAGATTGTGGGACGTCAAAACATACCCACTCAAAAAAGCGGCAAAATGATTCATAATGTTCTGACGAACTATTCCGGCATGGATAAAAGAATTTTGCTTTATTATGCAAATCAAATTTTAAACTGTTTATCCGGTTATTGTAAAGTTTAAATAATTAAGTTAATCGATTGAACTTTGTTCCTCGACTCAGGCCATTCCTTTCACCTCGACAGCATGCAGCAAGATAATTCACACCGTGGAATTGTAATTTCACCTAAAAAAAATCATGAAGTCTAGGTTTATTATTTTCCTTCATGTTCCGATTTCTGATAGGAAATCGGGAGAGCTACCTCACAATTTGGTTTAAATTGTTTAAAACTTGCTTTTGTAAATGGTTTTGGGTTATGATTCTCAGAAATTGGTTTGGGTTATAATTCTTAGAAATTGCTTGCGAGAAAGTGTTTAACTACATGGCTTGAGAAAAAAATTCAACACTGGTTTCCGTGTGACTTTGTTTAGATTTCAAATGCGAGCCAGATCTTTCACCATCATTTTTTTTCTGGAATCGAAAATATCCAATGTTGGTCCGTTTAATTTTTCAAAGTTCCTCAAATTTGCTAACGAACGGGTAAGATCTCCAGCGGTGGATGAGACTGTGAACATCCTCGATACAACCAGCAGCTGGCAGAAATCAAATCCGAAAACTTTTGTCTCCATGAAGATATGAAAAAAGAATTTGTTCAATCGAATTTTTCCAGGAAATGTTTTGCAGCAAACACTTGGACTACAAATGGTTTCAAAATTTAAGTGTATGCCAGAATCGTCAGCAATGTCGCAAGCAAAGGGCGTAGCCCACTTTGAAAATATCTAGATACGAAGCGAAATGTTTGTCGAAAGAAATCTTTGAAGCTGAAATAATTTTTACTCTTTGTGGAGAGAGGCATTCAAAAGGACGAATTTACACGCTTAGATGCTAAAATACCTTTGCAGCGAAGGTAGTCATGAACATTCCGCAAGCAAGAGTTAAAGATCAACTCAGTCGTACCGGAGAAATGTCATTCACAAATCGATTCAAACTACACAGAAAACAAATAAAATAAGACACAAACCATCCAGCAATTGATCTAGCTGCTGAAACTTCCCTTCTGGAAGGCCAAGCCACTCATTAATCGCCGTGGTGGCAGAGACGAACAGCAAAAGCACGACGACAATCTTCATTTCTTCCAGCGACGTCTAAGGCGAGAGACAACCTTTCGAAGAGTCCCTGTCAGTTGGGTTCAAGAACATAGTAGCATGTGCGCAGCATTAACAGGCTTTTATGGGCCATTTGATTAATTACCTAACTCCCGACAATCGTTTGAATAGGCATTGTCACCGTTGTGTAAAAAGGACTTTTTCCTGATGCAAATCATTTTAGAGACAAAAAAATGTTTTCTACAGTAAATGGGCATTCCATCCAATACGACATACTAGCGCACATTTCCCGTGGGCCACAGAAAAATGTATTTGATTTACAGTCTTTTACTGTCAAACCTGTACATGAGATCTCAGATGTACGAGAGAAAACAAAACAAAACAAAACAAAACAAAGAAAACAGTCCTTTTCGCTTACTTTTAAATTTTTAGGGCAAAAGAATTAAAACACTTTCTAGCGCCATTCAAACGATTTCCCTGGGGTATAACATCACTCCGTGAAAAGGAAAACAGAAAGGTTTTTAAATTGTGTTTAATTAACCTCCGGTATGCACAGCTAAAATATGTTGAAATTGTTTTGAGTTCTTGAATGCCACGTTCAAAAGTGGTTGTAAAGTGGAATTTACATTTTTAGGGATGTGAATCAAGACCAAACAAGTTAAGCCAAATAAAGTTTTCCATTCTTTATGGACCTTTGAAGTGTAGGCGAGCTCTCGGCTTAGTCTCTGAAGCTTTCACGTCGTAAAACAGTTCAAAGCTAATTAACTTATCTGGAAGAAAATTAAACTAATGCTTGATGCTTTATTCCCAGTGGGAAATTATTTAGCCACGTGAATTTTCAATGGTTTTGCAAAAGAGTTTGATTCCCTTTCACGAAAGGACGTATTTGGGCCTGAAGGTAAACTCGACCAGGCAGCAATTGCGGTAGTTTGGAGTCAAAATCAAACAAAGACATTCCGGAACAAGGCATTACGAACTTTTGTTTTCATTGTTTTATTATCAAAAGATCATCTTTTAACTCACTTAACTTGAGCTGTAGGTAACTGGCAAGGTCGGGAAAAGTTTATTTAGACCTGAAAATTCTGGAAAGAAGCTTCAGGGTAGTGGTTTGAAGCAAAAAGTATTCCGCAACGTACAGTACAAACTTTTGTTAACAAAGGAGAATCAATAACAATGCAGATAAAAGAAAGTAATATAGCATTTTTTTGTTTCTTTAAAAACATATGCATGAACAACAGTTTGAAAAAGGACTAAGCTGCTATTGAAATCGTATATGTGTCAATAAAAAACTGAAAAAAAAGTCGATTGGTGTCACGTATAAAGAAGCGGTCATGAAGTTTATGAACAACTTAAAATTTCACATCACAAAATCAATACCTTGTCTTGAAAACAAGTGTGAAGAGTGATAATATAATGGCACAGAAATACAACATAGCTTCTTTAAGTTCAATGTTCAGAATATACATTAGAGGGAAATGTAGTGGAAATGTGCTCGAATGAAACAATACTGTTCAACTTTCCACTTGCCAATGTTTTTTTTTTGTGTGTATAAAGGATCACGTTCTAAAATACTGAAATATGGCTTTCGCTTTCGTTGGTTTTTCTTGGGTTCTTAAACTAGCTTAAACAAAACTCATATAGACCAGATACGTCATTTAGTGACCAGACTGAATAACCACCGACTTAATCCACCTGGTTTTCAATTAAGTTGTTCACACTTACTTTTGTTGATGATTATAAATGTGGGGTTATTTTTTGTCTGTTTTTGCTTTATTTTGCTGTTATTTTCTCTTTTTTTTCTGTTCTTGCGACAGAGAGAGGTAAATTCTACGAAGTCAGATAGGTACAAACTTGGATAGCATTAACTCGGATCACTCATTTAAATAAAAATGGCAAGTCTTAATTGTTTATGCCTTGATCTTGAGCAGCTCCGGTCCGTGTTTTATCCCTGCCTACGATTTCTTTTTTCGGCTTTAGTTTTCTACAGCAAAAGAAAAAGTTAACAATGCTCGCCTGAGAAATGAAAAGCTCTGTTCTTTTAATCCTCCTTCGTTTAAATAACTGGTACGTGCTGATGGAATGTAAATTAAATTTCTCTCAACGATATTTCAATTGGTTTTGACCGAATGACTAGCGTTTGAAAAATAAGATATGATCTAACCCTCTGGAGTATTTTGTCATCGGAATTAAGACGTTTTTATGTTCTATTCCCATCACGTCAGTACAGTCATCATTAACTAATCCTTGGTTTAAATAACTTAAAAGTGCTGTTGGGGTTTAATTTCAATCTCAATACAAATCTCTCGTAACAATTAAAATGCTGAACCACCTCTCTAAAAATGAATGCAAAACTTTTTTCACACGTACGTTCAATTTGTCAGTGGTAGAACAGATTAAATTTTTTAAAGAAAAAGAAGGAAGAGTGTTACCCTCCAATAACAATAATAAAAAGTGAACAAACGGCACATGAAGTGAATAGAATATCCCGACTTTTCTCTTCTGTAATTTGAAAACTTATGATCCTTTGTTAGGATCAAAGTACGTAAAATTTAAGTTACCTAGTCTCCCTTGTGCCTCTAGTTTTTGTTTAGTTTTCTTTACCCATGATAATCAATGTCAGTGATTACAAAGTCCACCGAATACAGATCAGGGCAAGCTCCTTGCTCATGGTAATTACCTGGAGTTACACTGTGCGTGGCATGACCTGTGGCCTGTTTTAATTACTGAAACTCATTTTGCTTAGAGAAAATTATACATGTACGATGTTTGTTTGCCCTAAACTTTTGCAACGCTTTACTCTGAAGGGAGCGAAAAATAATTATTTTTTTAACTGAGAGACGCCATCAATTCAAAGTGCACATATATATATATTTTTTGGTTTTCCTGTTGTAAACTCACTCCGAGATGACCTTTGTTTGTTATGAAATGTGTGAGCCGCTACCTTGAAAAAGAATTTATCATTCAAATGGCCAAGCAAATAAAAAAGCTTTTTCGGCTTGTTTTTAGAATGGAGTGATGTAATACCCAAGGGGAGTGTATGTTTTCATTTTTTGAACTACATTCCATCACACACCAAATTTAAAAACCATTATCAATGCGACAGTGAATGTTTAACAGATCTGTATGTTTTATACACATTTGAAGGATGGCATAAAATTGTTTTCAAACTAGAGATGACAACAGTAACAATTATAGTACAAAGAAAATAGCCTCCGTTTCCACGCACTTCCAAAAGCGCCGATATGTATGTATTGTTTTTTGGGTACCTGGTCTTATGGCTTGAAAATTCTGAAGGTACGCAAGCGTAAAAAATATGTTTTGTGGCTTGTTTTGAAAAGAGTGATGTAATACTCTAGGGACGGAACGAACTTTTTCTATTTTCAAACTAAATGTCATTACACAGGTCTAAATTTGAGACTCAGTCTCAATCCATGGTTTTAAGTCGAAAAAACCTCAGAATTTGACGACGTTTAACATCAGACGATGGCATAGAAAATATTTTCGAAGCAAGCGAGTCTAAAAACTCATTTATTGGTTTCAAAAGGATGCAAGATTGTGCAAGTTCAGGTTAGATTTTTAGCCTTTTGTCCACCGAAATAAAACAAAGATTTGCTTTTGTTTTAATTTGGCCACTTTTGTTCTGGTGGCACCACATCGGAATTTTTTTCATTTAAATTCATTGAAAGCACTGTGCATTAGATGAAGCATCAAAACAATGCCATCGACAAGTTACAAGGACAGTCAAATCGAGATGGCACTAGCGATGTTGAACAACCATTCATTTCTTTTGCATTCCAGCTTATTAATTCAGTTGTAGGTAGGCGGCACTTTTGTCCAGGCTAATTAACTTGGTTTCAGCTAACAATGGCCATTCAACTAAGTGTTGAGTATTATGTAATTAAATGCCAGCATAAAAAATGGGCGTTTGATTAATGCGTCCTTCAGTTCTAGGGACCGGGTCTTAAAGGACACTCCAGAGCTGCTTTCCAACTACGATTCACTCCAAACACCGCAATGAAGACTCTTCTGGTCGCTTTGCTCTTCTGCCAAGTCGTGGTGAAAAGTTATTCACTTTCGCGTTTTGAGGAGGTGACGGCTGCGAAGTTGACGGAGTTAAAACGGGAATGGAAAGAAGGTTAGTATTTATGAAAATTAAGCAATGGTCGATTTGTGTTCGAGCTGCTGAATTTTTGTCGAATAGTTTATAAGCCGAGGCCTTCTCGAATAAAACTTCGATGGAATTTATAAAGACGTTGGCGAGTTTTGCAAGTTTTGTTGGTTATTATCAATCATGGAGAAGTATTAGATTATTAGATATCTGGCAGACCAGTGAAGGTGAAAACAATTACAGTTAATATGTTTAAAATGTACAGAATTTAATGAGGACATCGTTCACCCGGGCGTTAACCGTAATTTCAGCGTTATCCCTCACTTATTACAGTTCAGCTATCGTCGAGGACTTGTGTCCAAATTCAGACCAATTGCTATAAACAACATCCCTGAGGAAAAAAAAGGTGCGCCAGTTGACCAAAATCTCGAATATAAGCCAGTCGGCCACAACTAAATGAATTGATTGTAGCCGACAGGTACATAAATGAAACAAAATTTTGAGCAAGACACCTTTCTAATCTGTTAGTTTTCTTGAAGTTTTTCATATTTTTATTTATGGTAATAGGACTTTGGTCCCAGCTCGACCTCGTTGTCGTTTCTCAGTCAAATTATCCAGGTCAAAAATTCATAATCTTGTTGAGCAACATATTAAGAAAAGAAAGAAATTACTTTATCAATTACCAGTCCTTAGAAAAAGAGGGCATGTGTGCATTTTCAACAGAGTACGCCATCGAGAGACAATGATGAATCACACGCGCGAATCAGGTGTCCCTCGCGGACACGCACGTTCCACGCGCAAGATCCTATGAAACCTTCCGCCACGCAACTTGCTAAGAGGAACATGTCCACATCCCCATTCGAACTTCGACTCGCTTTATTCGTTTGAAAATTGGTTCAATGAAGTGTTAAAAGAAAAGTCCAAATTTGAAATACAGCGATTCACTCTGAAAAACGATGGAAAAAGTGATAGCTTTTCGAGCGAGTATTCGCGCGAAATCAGCGCAAAAACACGTCTTAGATTGACAAGGCCTTCCACTCAGACCTTTTTTATGCTCGACTGTAGTTCATTACTGATTCAGTAAAAGCCCATGACTGAACTAAACAGTATATATTTCCAACTGGTCAGTGAAATTACTAAATATGCGCTAAAGTTAGAAGATCTGTAATTAACGCAATTGCATGATAGCTGAAAAACATTCAGGCCTCGATGTGAACAGGATTTCCAACCATGATCATAACCTTTGTGACTTGTTACTGTTGCGTTGCCCCAAAGGGTATGGTTTTTAGCCTTTTTGGTCAGAAATAGGGTATCGATTTTGGCCATTTTGGTCTCAAACGGGGTAAGGACTTTGGGAAGCGGGCCACACACTCCCACCCCGGGGTGCTCTACACTAGCGTGAGCGGCTACATATTTTTGTTAACAAACTGTTGTTTGTTTTCTTTCATAGTCGAGGAGTCCAACTCAAAACTAACAGCAAAACTTGCAGAGCTCTTTGATGAAGGAGAAAAAGGATCTGGAGTGGAACCTGGTCCTGGACCGTTAGAGGAAGAGGAATTGAAAGCCCTCCATGAAATTGTTGACGCGGTAAGACCGACTCGCTAAATAGTTCCGAGATCGACGGGATAATAATGGGAAGCTTGAATACTTTTATAACCGTGGCTTATTGGTGATATTGCAATTTGTGGTCGGTAGCTAACCAAAGTAAACACACACAGAAACGTTAAGTACAATAAATGAAAATAAGGAGATTAGCATTAAATAAATTATACGACTGTATTATCCTACGACCAACTGCACTAAAAATACCGATATTTGTCTGAAGTCATTAGCAAAATCTTTTCCGTACTTGAAAAGAAATAGACAAACTTGCCCTGATTTCAATTTGCTACGCCTGTTATAAAAAAATATGTTATTCACTTTCAGCTTCGTAAGCACATCATACCTACAGTCGTTAAGGCCTCAAAACAAAGAGATGAGGAGAGTAAAGGTACGTAAGTCATTCACTTCAAAATTGCCCATAGGACAAGGCCATACTTAAAGCAAATTTGTTGTAGCAGTAGCAAATGAACAAATTTCAGCTTATAGGGTATTGGACACTGTGGCCCGGCCGTAAGTAAGAATTTCGCCTTACCCTGTAGTTTGGATGGCTGTTCAAGTCAGGGTGGCCCTAGTTCAGTGGCTGGTGTCAATAGAGGTCGTGGGTAGTTTGTTTGTGAGCTAAAACTTGGTCTAAATGCCAACAATAAGAGAAGATCCTTAATTTTGTTCTTGAGTCAGTTTTGAATGTATAACTTTTTTTCCCCGGCATGATTCGTGAGCATTACTGAGGACAGGTTAGGCTTACATTGTGCTTTTATTTAGTGAGACAAGGAGATCATTAGCTCGTCTGGGTAACTTTACCATTCTATACATTTTCAGAATATGCTGGCAAATTGGTGGAATTGTTGAAAGGCGATGCCGACAGAAAGGAATTAAAGCAAGCACTTGGTAAAACTGTGATAGAAATGCACGGAAAGTGCGACAAGATCCAGGCAGGCTTCCTGAAATTGGCGAATGAATCAGGTGAGTAACCCTGTTTACCGGTTGCCAAACGTTCTTCTAGTATATAGCTTGTAAGAATTTGATCATTTATCCCTTAAGACACTTGTATCTTCTACTACATAATTTTGTTTTTTCTCCCTAACTGCCTGAATGTTTAGCGCTTTATTGTGACAGAACGAAATCAACTAAAATTTATTGTTGATAATACTTGCAAATTTAGTAAAAGAAGCGAGCATCTTCATTTTGCACTTGCAGATTTCGTATCAGGAGTTGTTGCTGTTGTTGTTTATTTTTTTTATCTCACACCGAGGAATTATTTGATAGTGCGTTTTTTTGGCGGATTTGCTTTAGAAGTGGTCAAACATCAACATCGTATATTGCATGAGCACCTTTGGTCGAGTAGCAGCTCTTTAATAATTTCCCTCAAATCGATCAATTGGTTGGGTGTTCCAAAGAAATAAAGTGACAACGATCTTCATGCTCGAGTTTTCATCCAATTAGAATTTCTTTACTATCGCGGCCATCTGAATCTAACCAAATGTGTCATATTGCGTTCTCGTTCCTCAGGCTTGTTGAGTCATTTGAAAGAGAAACTGGGATCAGATGAAGAAGAGAATGAATTGGAAAAAATAAAAGAATTGCTCGAAAGTGATGAAGAAAACGATTTCTTTGGTAAGTTCTTTGCATATAAGACAGATACTAGTGGGCTCAACACTTAATATTTAGTTATCCGTAGTTTCCTAGGGCCCTGTAGGTCGTTTTATAACCGATAAAATTATGTCTTCTCAATCGAAGACGTTTTTTTTTTTATCAAACACCTCAAGACAGTGTTTGATCACATGTCCAAACTCCTCGAAGTTCGTCAAAAAATACTCCGCTACGCGTCGTATTTTAAACTCTCTTCTACGTGTTCGGAAATGTGGCCAAACACGGTCTTGTTTCATCTATTACTTCTATTTGTGAGTTAAATGTGACAAAAGAAGGAAAAACGTCTTAGATTTGGCTTGTTAGAGACGTATATCACTGTAAACTTATAACTATACCTAACTGGCTCGTATCTATTTTTCTAAAACTGAAGCTGAGTTTTCAGAATATTTTACAACTTCAATTTGAAAAAAAGAGATGATTTTTATATTTTATTTTGACAGAGGCGTTGGAGAAAATGGGATCAAAAGGCAAAAGTGCTAATCAAGCTTTAAAAGCCTTCATAATCATAAATAAACTGTTTTCGAAGGCCACTTGCGGAAATCCAGCTAACGGTATGAAATTATGTTATCATTTTAGCAGCCCCAAACTTATTACCTCAGACTTATTACCTCATATTCACCCTAAACTTTTGTTATCTTAACAGCATTGGTCGACCGAATTGATGAAAGAATAAGCGGAGAAGATCCAGCTGATCCCTTCCCTGATCTACCAGACAGAATCATTTCATTGCTCGGCCTGGGTGATATCAAACCTCCAAAAGCATGCAAAAAGCGTAAGGGTAAGTCATGGTTTCATCGTCTCTTTAAAACTAACCTTTTCCACCATTCAACTCGCAAAAGTTAATGGAAGCAGGGATGGTGCAGTGGTGAAAGCGCTCGCCTCCCACCAATGTCGCCCGGGTTCGATTCTAGCCCTTTGCCATATGTGGGTTGAGTTTGTTGTTGGTTACCGCCGTGCTTCGAGGGTTTTTTCCCCGGGTACTCCGGTTTTCCTCCTGCCTAAAAAATCAACATTTCCAAATTCCAATTTGACCAAGAGAGAGGGCCCGCATGAAAACCAGCGAAGGCTGGTGTCTAAATGTTACAATTTAAAGCTCACAAGGCAGATATCTCGAATGATAATGAAAAGAAATACTGAAAGTTATTTTGGTGATTGATTGGTATTGTGTTTAGGAAATAGTTACAGGGCGGCTGTTTTGGAGAGAATAACTCCTGCGAATGTACTTTGAGGAATAACATATTTGAATGATAACATATAACATATCATATTTTAATAATAACATAATCATATGAGTTCCCCGAGCGGGCAAGATGAACCAGATACTGTCTTGTGATTTGCTCCGGATTGCCCGCTGTATCCCGTAAGAAATTGCTGAACTGTATTACATGCAATAAATCCGGCTTTATTGACTAAGTGTCGGGTCAAGACCGATAAATATTGGCCATGATATGTTCTTGCGTGTTCATGTGCCTCCACTGCGACTCAGTCTATAAAAACAAGGTCGTGACTAATATCCAGCCATCTTGACCTCACACTTGGTCAATAAGAAAGCTTATCAACCTAGCAAGTGGTTACATGGATTTATAGGAAGTCACGCAAATCTCTTTTGATTGAATCACAACGGATGTAACGAGCTGAATTAATTAACAAAATCGATCTTTTCTGCACGATTTCTAACGTTTGCCGTTATGTTTCTTGCCGGGCAGCTTTGGTGGAAAAAAATGACCAGACTCCAGATTCTCCTAAAGAGAAAATGCTCAGGCTCTTTCTTCAAGCGCCCAAGGATATCCTTTGCAAAGATGGTAGGTATCTGTAGTGAAATTCAGGCTGGAGAGGAAGAAGACATTCTACTTCTCCCATGTCTTGGGTATTTTCAGCATTTTTTGAAAGTAAGACGTAACATGTCATGAAGTAACATAAATAACTAAAATAAATAAATAAATCGCTTTAGTTAAGTGTCAAAGTGTTTAGTGTTACTGTACTAATTATGGACACTGAAATAAGCAAACAAATACTATAAATTAAACAGAAAATTGTTAAAAACCCCAACTGGTGGGAGGTTGACCAGTTGGCTATTTCCAAAGCGTTGAGGAGTTGAATCTGGGACCACCAAACACAAATCTATCTAGTGGCAAAGGGCCACGCTACCTCCACATGCCAACATGTAATCAAGGTAACATCATCATCTTCTTCATCGAAGTAACATCTCATCATCACCGTCATCACCATCATCGGATCTCTGCACGATAATGTTTATAAACATTTTAAGTCTCACTCGATGGAATGCAAATCGATGTTATTCGTTACGAAGCACACACCTTATCTTTGAGGCCTTTCAAATTCTTTTTCCGACCGCTTCAGTTGATTTTTACAGCCGCGAAGTTGTTTCATCTACTGACATGAATAGGAACGAAGCATGAAGCTTCGACCACTTCGCATTCATAATAGCGGTTGTTTTGAAACTTTGAATTTACTTCATGTAAGTAGTTGCGAATTGTGTTACATTTTGTGATGTCTTACATGAACAAAACAAAAAAACGGAAACAAACTCTCGAGAGTGCCCAGCATGGACTGGAAATCATCTTAAATTAGTATAGATTTTTGCTCTTTTATTCTGACGTTTTCTCTTTTATTTTAGTTTCGATTTACTAGACAGTGTCTGAGCACAAAAACTTCGCAAAAATACTCCGCCTCGCGTTGTATTTTCCACTCTCCTCGCGGGGTTTGGAAATGTGGTCAAACACGGACTTTCGTGTTTGACATAGTTTTTCAATTATCCGTTTATTGGTGGGTTCTTTTGATGGTTGGCTGGTTGGATTGCTCGCTCATCCGTCCATTCACCCAGCCGTCTGTCCATCTCTCTGTCTGTCGGAACTTCCAGCAGTCCATATGTTTGCATGGTTTGTTTGTTTGTTCATTTATCCATTTATGACGTTATCTTTCCACATATTAAATTATTTCTGTTTTTTTTTCATAGTACCTGTTGCCAAACGTTACCTGGATATCATTATGAAGGTTTTATTTGACTACAAATATTGTTTTTATTTTATTGCATGCAAATGACTTGATACAAACCCAGACCACCTGTGAAGACAAAAAGCATAGTTGTAGGCATAATTCTGATTTCATTAATTTTACAGGCAAACGAACTTGGCAAAAAGATCGGTTTCCTAAAGACTGTGGACACAGCGGAACAATTCGGTTTGTATTTACTTTCCATCTGTAACTTTGCACACTCACAAACTCTCTCTGGCCAGCAGCTTCAGTTCAGACAGCAGAATTTCCTTTAACTTTCCGACTGTTTGATGAATATATCAGATACATTTTTTTTTTCGCAAAGGATTTTCTTGGTAGCCAGCCCAGGCCTGGTTGATGTCAATTTCTTTCAAAGGCATCTTTGTAAAGTGAAAAAAAAAAAAGGGTCCTAGCTAGATTTCTTTTTCTTGTAAACTCCTGAATTGACTATGGGAGAATAGCCAACGATTGACTATGGGCGAATAGTCATGGAATCCATGTAGACCAAGTCTCCTGTTATCCCTACTTGTATATGTTCTACCGCAATAAAGCACTTGCAATCACATTTGATTACTTTGCTGTAACGCATCAAACTACTTAAATACCTATCACATGGGGCTAGCGGGCTCTTTTTATGTCTCAGCCTCGATGTTGTAGAAGTCTAAGATGCTTGTCTTCTTTCGTTTTCGTTTTCTTTTTTTCTTTTTCGTTTTCGTCTTCTACGTTGTTGCGTACTGTTCTTAATTTGCGTGTATGTGCCCGTTTTACAGCCCGAATTAAGAAGATCAAAAACCTCATCGGGCAAGGTCGTTATGCAGAGGCGGCCATGCTAGTGGGCGAAACGGCCTTGGAGGATCTCAGAAAAGGACTACTGATTGGTCTGACCGTGAAGAAGACAAAGAGGTTGCCTAAGCTGAAACCGACACTGCCATTGCCGTTCAAACCCAAGGGACCCAAAGAGCTATTTGACTTGGACAACATGATGAGGTTTGTGGATCTTTGCGACCTTAAGTTTAAGAAATCAGAGATCAAGAGCATTTTAGCAGGAATTCAATGCTTTCTCCGCTTGAAAGAAGTCTAGCAAATGACATAAAAAAAAATCCGCACGATTACGTAACTTTAAATAGATCCGCCCACGATCAATGCCTTTTATTGGTGGTTACTTCTGAGCGAGAATTCAAAATTCAATTTGGGAACGAGAGCAGAATTTCAAGACAACGAAATATAAATAAATGAGAACTTGTAGCATATATATTTACACATAGTAGAGTGTCCAGCTTATCAGATGAAATATCCCGGCAACTATGCCTGTGCGTTGGAGCTTTTTACTAATCGCTGGATATGTTTAATCACTGAATGCGATTTCTCGAGATCTAAAAGTTTTAGTACCGGATACTTCTGTTTCATCTAACGTTTTGTGTCCCTGATTTATTTTCAGTGCGAGAAGACAGTGATGCCAATATCAAGCAAGCACTATGATTTTGCACTACATGCAGTTTGATGTGACAAGCCACGACAAGTCCATGATAATTTCATAATTTTCGGCGTTTTTGTACGTATACATGTATAAACTTATATCGGAACCTGATCGTTCGAAATGAGCGTAAAATAAAATACAAAGAAACATGATATTACCTGGTTTATTGATGCCTATGTTACGTTCAGTTCGATGCACCATGTGAGAACATAGAGAAAGTCCCTCTACCTTTTAAAGAGTAGATCTGTTCTTTCCGGTTCTCGCGTTTACTTATCTTATCTAGATCAGAATAGCCCAGAACAAGAGACTTAGATAGTCTCTTGCCCAGAAACAGTCTGTAATAGAGACGATTAATTCCTCAGCAAACAGCAATTGGTGTCGATCTTTTCAGAGTTCAGAACATCTGACGTTAAAAACTTCCTTAATGACTCTTTCAGTTTACTCCCCCGAAATGAGACGCTAGTGCATATATCACATATCAGTAAATATGCTTATACTCTAATCACCCTGAAACGATTATAAGATATTTTGTAACTAATTTTAATAAACACAAACACACATCAGGGGCGGGCATCTCGTTTATTGATGCCTGCAGTGAATAAACAATAAAGCAAAGTTGAAAGAGATGCTTTCGAGTGGGTCTTGCATAACTTACAAAATCCTAAATAGCCTAATAGCCCCTAGGGATTCATCATACCTGCAAGCACGCCAAAAGTACCTCTACGGTTAACACGAATCATACATTATAAACATACTCCAGTGTCATTAGCGAAACGTTACAAAATATATTTTTTCACGTGATCATCATCATCATCATCATCATCTTCATCAACTTTTTTAAATTGGGGGCATTTACTTAGTTAATTAATTGGGGGCTAATTCCACTAGAGTATGTTCATTATGTATGATTCGTGTTAACTGTAGAAGTACTTAAGACGTGCTTGCTGGTACGATGAATCCTTAGGGGCAAGAGATTATCAAGGTGATAATCACTTGCTAGCTAGGGGCTAGTAGGCTATTTGGGATTGTATAAGTAATGTAAGAGCCACCGTAGATCTATACCATATCTTTCAACCTTGCTTTACTGAATTTTTTGTTTATTTGCTGCTGTACTTTCCTTTTGATGATGAACTACATCAATAAACGAGATGCCCGCGCTTGATGCTGTGATTATGATTACTGCAGATTAATTACAAAATATTTTATAATTGTTCCAGGGTGATTAGATTATGAATGTAATCTCCGACGATTGAGGGACGAATTAGTCAGAAATTATTATTCTGACGGCAGAGCATCACGGGATACTTGGAGACTATATAAAGGTTTGGCGGGAGATTTAAGTCATTCTAAGTTGATCAGACGTGGTGTTCGCCCTCTTTATCTTTTTATGATAATTTTTCGATTACATCAACTTGTGTAAATAATTGTGGAATACCTTTTTCTTAGGGTCTCGTGCTGCTGCAGTAGATAAGGAATACCAGATATTTTTTGGGCCACATATGGCTGGTTTTCAGTGTCACGCAATTCAAAATAGATCAAAATAAAAATCAAAACCGGTCAATAG